CGATTTGTTCGCCAGTGCTGTCGGCCCCGTCCGAGCTGACTGGAGCCTCGTACGAAGGGCCTGGTAGGCCGGATGAAGATCAATGGCTCTGTTTATTGTGTCAACTGAGGACCAACTTTCGAGAACCAGTCTGGCCATCTTGTCGCTCGCTCGGCCGATGATGCTCGCCTCCCCAAAGGCGAAACTGTGCTTCTCCTGTTGTATGTGGCCATATACCAGTGATGAAGATCAATGGCTCTGTTTATTGTGTCAACTGAGGACCAACTTTCCGGCCTACCAGGCCCTTCGTACGAGGCTCCAGTCAGCTCGGACGGGGCCGACAGCACTGGCGAACAAATCGTGGCTCTCTCAACAGTTGTCACCTTCCCAGCAGGGGGAGAGAGCCAGCCGGGTGTCAGACGACCGACGCGAGATATCGACCCACCGACGCGCCCAAACAGCCGACCCCGATTCCCACATGCAACGGCAGCTGATCAGCCCGTCAAATTATGGGGGGAGGGCCCAAGGGCACACGGACCTAGCAGCGACAACAGCGGCCGGGCAGGGGGCAGAGGTCACACCAGCGCCCCAGCGGTCGGCCACGGAGAGACCTAAGCCAATCCCCCGCCAGCAGGCAGGTCAGAGTTCATGTAGCAGGCATGCCTATAACACGAGACAGGCGGCGAGACAGAACAACTCTGAGCTAGCAGGAACAAACACCCTACCACTACTCTGATGATGGAATCGAGGAAGATTCCGAAACGTCAGCACCAATACAGTGTGGTCCATGGCATCGCCCCTTTTTCTTCTTCGTCTTCTTTTGGGGATGATGAACGTGATAATCTATCTGGACCTCGAATCTTCACTCATGTTGATATATATATATATATATTCACGAGTAAAACTCTATTTCCGACGGACTTCCCCCTTCATCTTATTATCTCGGAATGCATACTGCTTCAGTTATTCAATATATATATATATATATAATGTTAGGGGCACTCACCGATCGTTCATACGGAACTCGAGGCTCGGTTGCTCCACACTTCGGGCTTGGGTATGGCTGGCTTACGACGGCTAATAAGCCAGAAATTGCCATTCCAGTCTCCCTTGGCTTTGTCGGTAATACCATTCTGCATATATATATATATATATATATATATATATATATATATATGACAGATGGGCGCTCACCGATCAGGTTACAGAACATGCTCGTTCTGTTGTGCCTTGGAGCCCATACTTAAACCCTCGCAGGCAGTCGCACAGCGACTAGTGATATATGTTGATAAGGTGATACCGACAACGAAAAGGGAGATCGGAATGGCCGTTTCTGGCTTATTAGCCGTCATCAGCCAGTCATACCCAACCCCAAGTGTGGAGCACTTGAGATTCGAACCCGGGATCTTTGGTCATGGAGTTTGACGCTCTACCATTGAGCCACGGGCCCGTTGTCCTGTCGGTTGTGATCGGGAATGGTAGAGCGCCAAATTCCATGACCAAAGATCCCGGGTTCGAATCTCAAGTGATCCACACTTGGGGTTGGGTATGAATGGCTGATGACGGCTAATAAGCCAGAAATGGCCATTCAAGTCTCCCTTGTCTTTGTCGGTAATAGCATTCTGCCTATATATCATGCGCCGCTGTGGGGCTGCTGGTTGGGCTCGAGAGAGAGCCCTTAAGGCACAACGGAACGAGTGAGTTCCGTATGAACGATCGGTGAGCGCCCCCTACCATTATATATATATATATATTTCGAAAGAAAACGGTTCTTTGCGAAACATTAAACAAGTTTTATTGCAAATTTTCGATCTTGGTTCCCCAAGTCGTCTTCAGACGTGAAGTAAGTGTGCAACACAGTTAACATTTAAACATGCCGAAAAATCGATTTTGCCTTGTCACTCCTGCTGGTGTGATGTTCTGATTGGCTAACGCCTTTTCCACTTTTCCTTGAGGCTGTTGTACACCGTATCCAATTCTAAGTGTCGATTGATGCATGCGCTGTCAGAATGGACGGCCTCTATAAATTCACGGCCCTTTTTTGATGAGCAAACACCAATAATGCAAGTCCTGTCCCATGCGAATTTGTGGCCCGTTTCCAACGTATGCATGGCAACTTGGGACAAGTAGTCGCGCCTTCTCACGGCCAACTGATGTTCGTGTATTCGCGTAGAGGCCGATTTTCCAGTTTGACCACAGTAAACTGCATTGCAGGTGTTGCATGGTATCTTATAGACGACTTCCTTCTTATCTAAATAGCCAACCCTATCCTTAGGGTGTACAAGCTTTTTACGAAGTGTAGTCGTCGGTTTGTGCGCCACATGAATTTGGTGCTTCTTCAGGTGTCTTTCAACTAGTTCGGACACATTCTTAATGTATGGAAGTGTTCGCCAGTTTTTTGGTTTGGGCGCCTGATCGGAACAATCTAGTTCCTTCTCTTTTTCCTTTCACTCCTGTCGTCGCATGCATCGGTGTACAAAATATCTAGGATACCCATTCTGGGAAAACAGTTTGAACAGATACTTCAGTTCTGTTTGACATGTTTCGTTGTCAGAGCAGTGAGTTCTTGCTCGGTTAAGGAGGCTGTTCACGGCACTCCTTTTGTGAGAGATGGGGTGATTGCTCTCGTAATGCAAAAGAACTTCCGCGTAGGTTTCTTTGCGGTAAACCGAAGTATGAAATGTCCCGTCAGGTTTTCTCTGTAGGAGGTCTCCAACTGAGCACGAAGCTGAAGATGTACAAGGCCGTCATCCTGCCGACGCTACTGTATGGAGCGGAGACTTGGACGGTGTACGCAAAGCAGGCACGTCGTCTGAACCACTTCCACCTCAGTTGTCTTCGTCGCATCCTGAGGCTGAAGTGGCAGGATCGAATCCCCGACACTGATGTGCTGGAACGGACGGGAATCCTCAGCATCTACGTCATACTGAGGCAAATTCAGCTGCGCTGGAGCGGACACCTGGTGCACATGGACGACGAGCGACTACCCAAACGACTCTTCTACGGAGACGTCACGACGGGTTCTCGCCGTCAAGGAGGCCCAATTCGTCGATACAAGGATACCCTGAAGTCCTCCCTGAAATGCCTGCAAATCAACCCTACCAACTGGGAGGAGCTCGCACTCGATCGACCGACCTGGAGGAGGACAGTGAAGACAGGCGCTGCGATCTACGAAGCCAACCG